TACAGACCTGGGGCAAGCAAGGAGGCATATTAACCAATGATGGGAAAAACCCGCACCTGACCTCATCTGAAAAACAGGGTGGAGTGAAAACACAGACACACTACAAACACTGTTTAAGAAGACCTTCCTGGGCTGCAGATGCAGCTCAGTTGGTACAGTGCTTGCCTAAGACACGCAAAGCCTGGTTCTGGATCTCCACAACCACATCCGGCATATGATGACAAACACTTGTCATCTCAGAACCGGGGAGGTAAATGCAGGATCAGAAGTTCACGGTCATCATTGTTACGTAGAGTTTGAGGATAGTCTGACATGCATGTGATTCCCATCTCAAAAGACGAAATAAACAAGAAGATGAAAATAAATAAAGTAATCTTTTTGAGCTAGGTGAGATGCTTCCCACCTGAACTCCTCATGCCAAGGTAAACAGACAGAAATCTGAGTTAAGGCCAAGAGACCTAGTGAGTTCTACAACATGGGCTACACTGTAAGACACTGTTTCAAGGTGAGTAAGCGAAAGCTAGTAAGATGCCTCTGCAGCCAAAGGGGCTTGCCACTAAGTCTGATAACCTGAGTTCAATCCCAGGGACCCACATGGAGGGAGGGACCCACTTTCTGCAAGCTGTTCTCTGACTTCGACACACAGCACATGCATGCTCAAACATACACACAATAAACGTAAAAAATGTTTTAAATGACTGAAGTAAAATTAAAAATACTTTTCAACTCTGTGTATAAAGTAATATGGAACAATGAATCTCATGTTTAATTAGCCTTAAGTCTACCCCTAAAATATCTCTTTTTATGTATATGCAAATATTCCAAACCTAGAAAAACTTCAAATTTAAAACACTTCTGGTCCCAAGCATTGGGGATAATTAACCTGTATGCAAAATGTCCAGAATAGCAAAAATCTGTGAAGCTGGGAAGTCAATGAATGGTTGCCTGGGGCAGAGGAGGAAAGAAATAGCTGTTAACGAGAACAAAGCTCTTAAGGGAGACAAAATGTACTAAGAGTAGATAGCGGTGACGATTGTGTAACTCCATAAAGAAATGGGAAATGCTGCACTGAATCCTGGACTTTAATAGGTGAGTATAGCTGCACTGGGTTAGAATGCTGACTTCCTGGTTACCCTAGTCTACAATTACATCTTTAACTATGGCTTCCTCTTTGCATTTTAGAGTACTATTTATAGGGTTCTGCAGCCAGATTGCTAGGATTGTAGTCTTCACTCCTATATTTGCTAGGGTTATGAACTTTGCAAGTTACTTAATTTTGGTGTGACTGTTTATCTTTTTTTTTTATCTGGCTGTCCTGGAACTCACTCTGTAGACCAGGCTGGCCTTGAGCTCACTGAGATCTGCCTGCCTCTCTGCTTTGCAATGCTGGGATCAAAGGTGCGCGCCCCCATCGCCCTGGACTGTTACAGGGCTGGTGAGACAGTTTAGTAGGTTCAGCACTTGCTGAAAAACCTGATGACGGAGCTCAATCCCCAGAGCCCACCCACATGGTAGAAGAGGACCAATGTAGCATTGTAAAACCCAGAGACAGATACTGGGGTTCAAGCTGAAGATCAGAAAAGTATAGCAGCCAGTCACTAGGGAGACCTTTTACCTCTACCAAATCTTCAGACCAAAAGGATCCTATCTCCAGGAATCCTCAGACTCTAGACTCCACTGAGCTCCTGTCTCTTCCCCTTTATATTCTCATATATATATATGCTCTGCCCAGTCATAATCCTTCCTGTCTCCACTTCCCTAGTGCTGGGATTAAAGGTGTGAGCCACTACCACCTGGTTCTGTTTCTGGGTCGATCTTGTGTAGCCCAGGGTAGGCTTGAACTCAGAGATCCATCTGTCCCTGTCTCCTGAGTTCTGGGATTAAAGGTATGTGCCACCACTCCCCAGCCTCTAGTGGCTTAGTTTTGCAATCTGATCTTCAGGCAAGCTTTATTTATTAAGATGCACTTAAAATATCACTACAGACCAACTTCTACATAAAAACAAATTTAAATGACATTTTATTTATTGTGTATGTGTGCATATGTATGTGTATGCATGTGCTATGGTGGGCATGTAGAGGTCAGAGGACAGCTTGAGGGAGCTGGTTCCCTCCACCATGGGTACTGAACTCGGGCTGTCAGGGCTGATGACAAGTGCCTTTACCCACTGAGCCATTTTGTCAGTTCTTTACATTTTAATTTTTACAATGTATTTGTTATGTGTGTGAATATTTTACCTGCATGTATGCCTGTGCACTACATGTAGGTAATGTCTTCTGAGGCCAGAAGAGGGAGTTAGATCCCTTGGAACTAGAGTTATGGATGGTTGTGAGCCACCATGTTGAGTGCTGGGAATGAAACCTAGGTTCCCTGGAAGAGCAGACAGTGCTCTTAACTACTGAGCCATCTTTCTACCCCCATACTCCCCAACAACATCTCATGCACTAGAGGCTGGCCTCTAACTTGCTATGTGTTGAAGATGATTTTGAACTTCTGATCCTGTCTCTACTCCCCAAGTGCTGAGATGTTGGTGTGGTGGTGTATGCCTTTATTCCAGCACCCAGGAAGCAGAAGCAGGTCAGTCTCTGTAAGTTAGAGGCTAGCGTGGTCAGCTTAGCCAGGGTTACATAGTGAGACTCTGTCTCAAAACCACAAAGCAAGTCCTGGAATTTCAGGTATTTTCTATCATGGGTGCTAGGACTCAGTTTCTTTATCTAGAGAATGAGGAAATGGAGGATTATATATCATGCAAGACTTTTATGATGGTGGATACATAAAATGTCATATACAATGCTAGCAGCAGCAGTTGTCACACTGTGGAGCAAGTTGTGTTAGCTATTACTGAAGCTGTACACTGTTAATTTATTATGTCTGACTCTGTTCTTTCCTAGTTCATCTGCTAGGGTCCTACAAGAATTGCATGAAATCTTGTGTTTAATAATTGGCCATTCTTGTACTTCACAAATCAAATTTATTTTTACAAGCTAAAGAGGATGAATATTATCCCAGAATTATAGGAAGAGAGGCACCTGGGACCACCACTCTAAACCTAGGAGCACCTGAATTCACTAGGACCATGACACAGCAGCAGCTGGCAAATTAATTAAAATAGGACCCACTGGCAGAAGAAGATCAGGAGACAGTGTATCAGAAAGCACTTCTTAAAATCTACTTCTTCTATGGCAATTAGAAGTTTCTAAAGCAGAAATACCAAATATATTAAGGAATCAACAGAGTTTCATTTTATCTACATTCACCATATGTTTCACTTATTCATTCTTACTGAGTATCAGATTTGCACAAGGAACCATGTGCTAGCATCCGGATATGTGTAATTTTGCTTTCTCAGGCACATTGCTTTCCCACAGTTCCAGGAAAGAGATTCGAGGTGCCTGCCTCTAGATAAATATGTGCGCTGTTCATTCAAATATAAAACATAAGCCTATATTTCCAGAAAGTCATTCAAATGCAAGGGAATTTATATGATTTCTTCTAGCTGTGGGCTTTTTGCCAATTAATATAACTGGCTGACAGCTCAGTGGTACAGCATTTGCTTACCACTTGTAATCCCAACACTGGGAAGGCAGAGACAGGTGGGTCCCTGGATCTTTCCAGTCAGCCTAGCCAACATGGTGAACTCCAGGTCAAGGCAGTTGTCTCCTAAGGAACACCAGGCGTTGACCTCTGGCCAAACACATAAGCACCTACATGCACATGCACACAAGGAAAATACACATAACCCACTGTGGTGGTGCACACCTGCAATCACAGCATGTGGGAAGAGGGGGTGGCCTGTCTATATTCTAGTTCCAAGTCTGCTAGGGTTTAATATCAAGACGCTGTACAACATCGCAACAAAAACCACAAGGGGAGGGGGGCAGGAATAAAACAGTTTATAGGAAGTATAGCATTTGTAAAAACAAATTTATAGCATCCAGCATTTATTAAAACCTGAAGTAAAACATTTTAAATATAGTGGTAAAGCACATATCTAATATGTAAGCAAAATATATCTCTCATCCCAAATTTACTTAAATATCTCTCACTGCAAATGACATTAAATTAAAACATTCCACTTCACATTTTGTGATTATACACACAAAATTCTGAGAAATTGAAACTTCTTGCACTCAAGAATGGTCATTAGTGGTATATAAGAGATATCTAGCTGGTACCAAACAACTCAAAGGCTGGAAGAAACCCAAAATGCTGCATGAACTGCTTGCTCTAGGTATGAGAATTTAGTTGCTGCCATTGTGATCTGCAAAGGCTTTACAACTCTGTTGCTCATGACCCCAAAGCCTTCATATAGAATTTTCAGTTCAGGGCACACCTCTTTGAGAGATGCTTTTGTTATTTTTATTTAGATTTATTCATTTTATGTGTATGAGTGTTTTGCCTGCATGTGTGCATGTACAGCACGTGTGTGCCTTTTATTACATTTATGCTTACAGTCTACCAAATGATGGGATTAATGGCGTGCACTACTATGCCGCGCTATGTTTACAATATTCACACAGCCAGTTTCCCTTTTCTTCTTAGAGGCTGGGTCTAACTATGGTGCCTAGGCCATCCTTCAACTCATAAGCTTAGGTCATTCCCTCATGCACGAGTCACCACATCAGTTTCTTATTTTCTAATGACCAAAAGCTGTGCTTGGAAAATCCACCCTGGGCTGGAGAGATGGCTCAGCATTTAAGGAAGAACCCTGCTGCTTTTCCAGAGGATCCAGATTCAGTTCTCAGCACCCACATGGTAACCTACAACCATCTGTAATTCCAGCCCTGGGGATCTGATGTCTTCTGGCTTCTATGGGTACCAGGCATAAGTGTGGTGCCCAGACATACATGCAGACAAACACCCATACACATAAAATAAAAATAAATCATTGCCAAAGAAGAAATAAAAATCCTCAATATTCTGCTCAATCATTATTCCTTCATGCCAAAATAAGATGTGTAAAAAGAGATTACACAGGCTCGCCAGACTAAAAACTTACACCTGAGGTCTGAGGATCTTCAGTTGCATGAGGATGTCCTTCTGCACCCTGGGGTTCGCTGTGGCCGTGAGAGCCATCACTGGAACAGAAGGAAACTTCTGGCGAAGCATATTCATCCTTTTGTAATCTTGACGAAAATCATGACCCCACTAATTGGGAAAAAATACTGCTTTTAGATTATTTGTATCTCTCTTCTATGAAAGCCAACAGTGGTCAATACAGAGGAAGCACTTTCTTCTTCAGTGAGGCAGCAGAATACACATGCAGAGTGTACTGTGCTTCAGTGCTGTGGTTCTGAGTACTGCTGGAGGTATAAACTTACTGATCTTCTGAGACACACTTACCTGACTCACACAATGTGCTTCATCAATGACAAAACGTGCCAAGAGCTTCCGCTCATACAGATTCTCCAGAGTGGAAATCAGCCTGTTACTTGCACAGACCTGGATCAGAGACAAGGGAGAGTTCTGAACGCGCATCTGAATGACACTGTCACCACCATACAATCACTCCCTATTAAACTAGCCCATATCTATGAAGAGAACAGAAGTAAACAGCAAAGGGGACATTTTAGCATGCTTGCTCACACTCAACAGTTTTACTTACAGGTTAGTGGCTCAAACTTTTGTCTGCCTCAGCGTATCTGAAGGTAACTATATATTTATTTACTTTGGTAATGGAACTTAATTTTTTTACATTTATTTATTTTATGTGTATGCATGTGTGGAGTGGGTGCGTGTACACAATGGTGCACATGTGTGTAGGTCAGAAGACTTAATGTGTTTGGTTCTATCACGTAGGTCCCCAAGATCAAACTCAAGTCATTGGATTATACGGGCAGCACACTTACCCACTGGGCCACCCTGCCAGCTTGATAACAGGATTTGAGATGTGTGTTTGGTATGTGTATGATATTTGGGGAAACTCTATGTATTACACATATAGGGAGTTACATGCTTGCACTCTAGCTTTGTCTGTAAGCAATGACATCCCAAGCATGTCTCGACAGGGACATATGTAAAGGACACAAGCCAGGTTGATGACATTTCCTCACCGTCAAATCTAGGCAATTAGAACATCAAAATACATAGTGGTAACTGATTGAAACTCACTAAATAAACAATCCACAACTTCACACTGATAAACACTTAACTCTCATTATGCTATATTAGTAAAGTCAGAACTTGGCATTCATTAAAGTAGTAACTGGGAACGAATCATTAATGGAAATTAAAACTTGCTGGGGACTCTGCTGTCTGACGGGGCAGCTCTACAGTCCGGGAACTCCTACCACTGGGTTTCTACCAACTCCAGACACAAGGGAACAAAAAAGTACGAGAAACAGCCGCAGTACTATTTTAATCAAGTGATTGGGTAACGAACATCACTGGTTCTTCTGATAGCACTTGTGGGAACAGGCCACCACATCTGCCACAGCCCTGTGGCTGAGGACCATGAATCTAATCAGCAAGAAACAAGACAAACTCAAGTTGAGGTACAGCCTTCCCAACTGGCCCACAGGCTTCTAAAATGTCAAACCCATGAAACTGTTTAGAGAAAAGAAAATTCAACAGGGATTTCTCTGTTAGAAAGCTCCTTACTGTAAGGTTAACAGGGTAAGGAACAGTATGAGACGCTGCACATTTCCTGAGGAAATCACTAAGGGAAAGCTAGATGGTCAGAAGACGCACACTTAAGTCATTAGGGTCGAAACGGTAGGCCTGAACACACTCTCAAATGTTCAGAACAAACTGGAGAAAGAATGAATCATAAAGGAGACGGAGAAAATTTTACCATTTGTGGTCTGGGGTGAAATTCTTGAAATGTATATAAAAAATTATGACCAAGTCTTTAACACAGATGTATTTTAGTGTGTTGTAACGTTACTCTGAAAACAGTGAGGCTGATACAAACCTTCTCTGGTGTGACATACAAGAGCTTGATAATTGGGTCTTTTTTTGATAACTGGAGGTAAATATTTGCAGCTTCTGAGTCAGTCTTATCCCCTGTCAGGTATGTAGCAGGAATCTAAGTTGAAAGCAATAATTTGAATTTCATTTTATTTATATAGTATTCAGACATGATTACGTTTTTAGATTTTATATAAATCTGCTAAAAGAAACAAATAGCTTACCATAACAATCAGCGCACAAATTTTTTTTTTTTTCGAGACAGGGTTTCTCTGTGGTTTTGGAGCCTATCCTGGAACTAGCTCTTGTAGACCAGGCTGGTCTCGAACTCACAGAGATCCGCCTGCCTCTGCCTCCCAAGTGCTGAGATTAAAGGCGTGCGCCACCACCGCCAGGCTCAGTGCACAAATTTTTAAGGTTTTTTTGTTTTGTTTTGTTTTGTTTTGTTTTTTTTTTATCGAGACAGGGTTCCTCTGTGGCTTTGGAGCCTGTCCTGGAACTAGCTCTGTAGACCAGTTTCAGAAGAGGGCACCAGACCTTATTACAGATGGTTGTGAGCCACCATGTGGTTGCTGGGAATTGAACTCAGGACCTTTGGAAGAGCAGGCAATACTCTTAACCACTGAGCCATCTCTCCAGCCCCTAAGGTTTTTTTTTTTTTTTTTTTTTTTGTAAGTCAGAATCTTACTTTGAGACTCAAACTTGTGATTCTCCTGCATCATCAGTTTATGAAGAGCAGATTATAGTTGTGTGCCAATATTTAGCTAGTACATATATTTTTAAAAATTCATATTAAACACAACTCAAAATAGCCTTCCCACCTAGGTGTGGTGGCACACACGAGGGATCCCTGCACTTGGGAGGCCGAGAAAAGAGGATAAAGAGTCCAAGGCTAGCCTTCGCACCACAGCAAATCTGAAGCTAGCCTGTTGTATGGCAAGATGCTTCTATGTCAGGAAAAACTGCAAAAACCTCCCCACTGTTCCTTTCATTTTCTATATTGCCTTATCTTTTCTATCTGTAAACAAGAGGATGGTGTATGTGTGTCTCCGTGTGACAGGGTCTCAATATAACCCTGGCTAGCCCGAAACTTGCTAGAAGGCCAGGCTTGCTTCTAACTGACACAGAGGGTCCTGGTTCTGCCTCCCAAGCTCTGGGATTAAAGGTGTGCATCATTGTGGTTAGTCTGATGCATCTCCAAGGTTTCAGTGTGTGCTGATGTTGGGCAGTGTTACCATCACTGCACTGACATTCTCTGGAAGGAAAATCAAACCAACATCAACAGTGTAACCAATCCTTTTGCAATGTGAAGAACTTAACAAAATGCAGACATAATTCCTTCAATTCAGAAATGAGGAAAAAAAACAGGTGCACAAGCACACACATGTGCACAGGGATAGAGAACTATGATGATCTCACACTAGCCAAAAAAAGAAACCCTTTCTATTAGTAAAAAATTACATCAGCAAAATATAGGTTAAGAGCTCTCACTGAAATACATTCTCATAGAAGAATAAAATCAAATTGAATTACAGATGGTTATTTGAATCAAAATGATTTAACACATGTGCTTAACTCTAGAGCTTAATTTAACTATATGTTTTATTTATTTAATCTTTTTTTTTTTTTTTTTTTTTGCAATATGCTAGGCAAACACTCTGCCATGGAGCTATATACCCAGAATAATTTGAGAATTATTCTTATAATTCAAATAGCAGTTAGTAAGATTTCCTGGCACCCTGAAATGTTTTTCTGAGGCACGTTTCCATTAAAACTTTAAGTAATAACTTACATCAAAGGAAGTCAGCTTTTGGACTTGATCTACTATTAGTGATCTCAAGGGAGAAATGACAATAGTGACTCCAGGAGAAACACAGGCAGGCAGCTGGTAGCACAAGCTCTTACCACCTCCTAAAAGACAAATAATGAAAAAAATTGTCAGCTTCCATTTTGAGTGTGAAGGAGAAAGGAGACCAAATATAGTAATTAACAGGAAATCAAATGGTATCGTCCAGGGATGGGGCTAGCAATCTGCATAACACACGAGACGGATTCTTCAGGACAGTCTCTCAGGACACCTTGTGTAGGCACATGCGACAGTAAAGGCAAGAACCAGAGCAAGAAACTGGAACCAAGGAACTGGTAACAAAGTCTACCAGAGAAATCCAAATAGAATAAACATTTTTTGCTTCTCGAAATATAAGCCATCTCTAAAAAATCTTAAGTCTAGGATTAACATAATTGCTTTTTATATAATACAGTAGACACCCCTCAGCCATACCTCCCTACCCCCACCCCTGCTGGGGGTCTTGCACACTTGGGCAAGAGCTTTCCCACTGAGTTACATACCCAGCACAGACCTCAGGATTTTAAAAACCATAGGCAGTCTTCTAATACAGCTCCAACTACCGGAACTCTGATTTCTAAGGTAACAGTCCCAATCTTCCTTTGAAATAAAAGGGCAAAACTGCATGTGTGCATATTAACAAAGATAATGAAAAAGAGAACTTGAAAATCTAACACAATTTTGCTATTTAGTCCAATACAAAATAGCAAGATGTTAAGTGCATATTTATTTCTCTCTCTGCCTGGCCCTACTGGGGCTCAAATCCAGGGCTCTGTACAGGGCAGGCAAATACTCTACCACGGACTTATGCCTCCAGCCCCCAAGAACATATTTTAAAATAACTGCACGATTATATTCTAGTTAGTTTGCAATCTCACCCTCTACTAATGGCGAGGTAGTTTTGAGGACTTCAATGTGTTCTAAACCTATATCCTGCATTCCTTCTTTTCCACAGTGAGCAAATTTCATCGTGGCACACACATGGACATGTCAAGGCGAGAGTGGGATGCTGAGGCAGGGACGCTCTCCCACTTAATTAGCAGCACGAGCTCAGACGGGCCTCAGATCCTCGTCTGTAAAATGCACGAGGCCACCAGTTTAAAGGGCTGTCCAAGGCTGGGTGATGGTGGCACTCAGCAGGCAGAGGCAGGGAGATCTCTGAGTTCCAGGACAGCCAAGGATACAAAGATAACCCCTGTCTCAAACAAAACAAGATCAAAAAGGGGTGTCCAAAAGAAACTTTATTTGTAATCTTTTTATTGTATCTGTCAACAGAGATTGGAACCAGGGTAGGAAGGACTTGACAATACCTCCTGAAGCTGGGAAGAGTCACTGAGAGCCTGATTAGATGACTGCCAACGTCCCTTCCAGTGTCAGAGCTTCTAAGGACCAAACCAGGGTGGAAATGGAGGCACAATGTCACTAAGTTAATAAAGTCTGAAATGTGGATACGCCAACATTGTCTCATCTTTAAAATCAGTTTGAGGACCTGCATAAAAGCTCGCTGTCCAAGCCTGACAACACATTGTTACGTGTGGAGTGCATGCAAAGGTGGAAACAGAAACGGACTTCACGAGGTTGTTCTCTGACCTTCACATGTATGCCTTGGCTCGTACATAGCTCTCCCGACCACATCACATCTACAGCTACGTGATAATTAAAAAAAAAAGATTTAAAGCGGTTTGAAAGAATTCAGGTGTCAAGTCAATAGCATGTGATAGCAGCAGCAAAACTGGGACTTGCTAAGCCGGAACAGGGCAAGCACACACAGGAGGTTTTCATGGAGACACTGAACCTGCTTCCTAGCCTAACCACATAGCTAACATCTTATGTGTTTGATTTCAAAACACTGAGCCGCTCTTACAGGCGTTTACAACAATGCACAGTCCTGGTCTTAGGACTTAGGCTGAGAAAGAATCACGCTGCATCCTTTTCACTTGAGCCTCACCTGTGAAGTGGGCACTATACCGCATACTGTCCTGACCATACCCACAAAGAGTCAAGTGGCTTGTCTGTCCACAGGTACACCCCTCCCTGGCAGGGGGTGGAGCGACACTGGAAGCCTGGGCCTTCAGTCCAGAACGGATGGTCAGAACCACAGGCAGCACTAACGCTAGCCAGAAATGGTCATGCTCTCACATCCATCTTCTGCTCCCTTCTAGGTTTGTTTAGATTACAATAAAGAAAATTGTTCAAAGAAAAGCTCTCCATCAGGTCAACCCAATGAGCTGTGTGTTCACCTCCTCAAGGAGTAAAAACCTGTGTCAACCTGAACAGAGGCTGAGGGGACAGGCTTTTTTACTGAGGTTTGCAGGTTTTAAAGGGTTTCTAAACAATAAGAATAATGGGAGGTGTTCTTTTTATTTCATTAAAGAGTTTTCATTTAACATCTGCCGATGGACTCCTGCCAATTCATATCTAAAAATACATACCAGTGGGCATTAGGATAAAACAATCTTCACCAAGCAGTGCAGCATTGATCGCCTCTAGCTGATTAGTTCTAAAATTATGTAAGCCAAATTTCTTATGAAAAATCTTCATCATTTCTTTTGTATGAGGAAAATTAAGACTTTGGAAATGTTCATGTTTCAGATTTTTTGATGTTAAATTTTGTTCCATCTTATCTACAAAACAATCAATGTTTAAAAACAGTGCATTAATATAGTTACATAGTTTAACATTCACCTTTACCCTGCAAGATCAACGGCACACTTTCCCACAGCACACTTTAACTGTTTACATGGCTTCCTTCCCAATTAGTCCCAGACGTTCCTCGGGGCCCACATCTAGTCTCTCCTTGATTCTTCTGTAGTTCCTATCAACACAATTTCTTCATCCTTCCTCTTCTCCCTTGGTTTCAAGATAATCATACCTTTTCTATTTGTTTTATTTTTTCTTCTGTGCTAGAAAGCAAGCCTATGATTTGCACACGCTAGGCTGCAGTGCACCATCATTGGGACAAAGTGACCACACCCCAGTTACTCTACTGGCTTTCAATTCCCTTCCTTGGCTCCACTTCTCCTTAACTCTGGGAGTCTTTCAAATACCTAGGACTAGGCTCTTGACACAGTCTGATTTAGAGTTTTTCTAGTCAACATAATCTGTGTGCAGAGAAAGATTAGCTGTTTCCTGATGTCCTCCTAAGCTCCCAACCTACACACATCCTACTGCCTGTACAATACTGCTTTCTTTTTAAAACATTTTTAAAATTTATATAATTTATATTCTACGGGTATGAGAGTTTTGTCTGCATGTATGTCTGTGCACCACATGTATGCCTGGCGCCTGTTGGTTCCCCTAGAGTTGGAGTTACAGACAGTTGTGAGCTGCCATGGGAGTGCTGGGAACCTAACCCAAGTTCTCAGAAGAACAGCCAGTGCTCTAAACTGACAGTCCATCTCTACCCACATCTACTGGAATGACTTCCAGTTTCAAGTTCAACAGTCTGAAATAGCCCTGCTCAGCTGTGTTCTATATCCAACTCTGCCTTCTGACCTCCCTACTTCTGTGGATGGTGTCACAGCCGCCTGGGTTTGAGACCTCAGTGTCACCTGAACTTCTCAGATACTTCCTTCACTCTCTCTCGCATCTCTTTCTGCGCTGCATTCTTACAGGGGCGGTTCTGGTTCAAGAGAACAAGAGGTTCTCACACATCAGCTCTAGCAGCTCCTCTCCAACACTCAACTGTCTCAGAGATAATTGCAAACATCAAGTGTGACACATTCTAGCATATCAAAATAAATCCATTAGTGGCTATTTTAAAGGTCAGCAGCATCACTGTAAGAACAAACTTGGAGCTATTAAGTCATCAATGGCAAAAATAGGGAGGGCTGTACTTCCTAAAACTTTGCACACGCATTCTTGTTTCAGTACAAGCACTCTGAGATAACTTTACAGGGTTGACGTAAGGCTCCACATTTATTTAGGCTTTCCCGAGCTTCTGCAGTAGCTTAGTTCATTCCTCATTAAACTGTAGCTCCAATACGGTGTCTCTGAAATCTTCCCAGAGCCCAACTCAGGACATGACACACAGTAAGCCTTTACTGAGCTTTTAAGAGACGTCTGTTCTGAGACAAGGTCTCACTCTATAGTTCAGGCCAGCCTCAAACTCACTGTCTTCCTCCTACCTTAGCCTCCCAAGTGCTGGTATTACAGGTGAGAGCCACCATGATTAATTTATATTTGCTGAATTTCAGATTTCATATCCTTCTTATGATGCCTCACATTTTAATGCTGTGAGACATGACACAGTTTTCTACTTTATAAATGAATTGCTTCTCATCATCCCAGAATTCCAAAACTATGCATATTTTGAGCATATGAATTCACCTTTCTACTTGGCCTCCCCCCATCACTAAGAATCTGGCACTTGTGCGCCTTGTTTTAGGGACTAGAAGATGCTAGTCTGAAGGCAAAGCGCGCTGTGATGACTTCAGAGCTCTACTACAATAGTTATAATTACACATTTATAAACCTACAGCTGCTACAGACACAAAGGAGCAACTTGCTCTTCAAACTGTGATTTGTAACTCACATCATCAGTAGAAATTTGCAGAAACAACATGGCTTTCGGGCAATGGTTTGCTGCTGGGCCTGTTACCATACAATTCCTATTTTGGATGGTTTTGTTGTCCTATTATATTTAAGCATCCAATTTACTCTAGACTTACCAGTGTAACTCTTCTGAGCAGTTGATGCCACTAGAAGAGACTGTGTCTTGGCTGAGGAAATCCTCTCTGACAGAGATTTAACTGGCCTGCCTTCCTTGATAGGTGGGTAGGCAGCTGTGGAGGGCTTGCTGGCGGAAACACTGTGCATTATGTTTTCCCAGTCCTCCTCATCATCATCATCAAAGTCATCAATGTTAAAGTTATCAATATCAAAGGAAGCCTGGACGTCTCTCTCTAAGCTATTTCCCGAGGCAGCATGTTTGTTCTGATCTTTCACAGTGGTGCTGGTGAGAACATTTCCTGGGAAATAAGAGCTTTCGTTTCTTTCTTCTGTCCTTAGTGTTTCAGCCCAGTTGCTACTTACAAAGGACTTCTGTAAATGGGGATTCAATAGCGGCCTTTCAAGGAGGTCCTTCGTGGTGGCTGAGAACCCTGTCTTTCCTGGAGTGGTGGTTGGTAAACATTCCTTGGTGGAAAGGGAATGTGAAGGAAAGGACGGAGAACTGCACTCCTTACTAGGACGCCCCACAGGGCAGGGATCGCCCTGTGCAGGTGATTCAGGCCTGCATCTCCACAGTGAACCCAGAATACTGACACCCTTTCCGTTAAAATCAGCTTCAGCCAAGAGCTTCCTTCTGAAGAAAGAGAACACATTAAACGTGACTAGTTTGTTATAGTAGCCGCAAAGTTTACTTTCATTTTTAACCCTAACAGAAACTATAGGAAAAAATGTCATTTTTTTCTAGTCTAAAAAAATTGAATACAAATATTAAACAAATGGTTTGAAAATTAAATAAATTTAAAATTTAGTGATGTGACTACCATCCTTCTGTCTAGGCCAGAAAGCCTGGACATTTTTGCCATTTCTTGACTTGGAGTAGCAAAACTGTGATCAGATATCTCCCACAAGGAGGACAATCAAGATACCTTAGGTTCCGTTGTTGAAGCAGCTCATCCCCACAACTCAAAGCTTTCAGTTCATCAGTAGGAACTGCATCAACTAGTTTACAGATGTGCTCCATCACACAAATAAGTCGCTCCTGTACACTCATCTGTTTGTCTAGGAAGCAATTAGAAATAAAGAATGAGGGTGAAACCCAGAACCCCAAATGCCCAGCAAGCACTCTGCCCGTGTGCTGCCTCACAAACCACCCCAACTTCTTTATTAAGCCACACAACAAGAGACAGGATTTCAAAGGAGCTGACGTTTCCGATGAAGGAAAGAAAGCGAATGATTTGGGGAGGCAATATAAGCAAAGAAAACGCCCACTCAACTCCACATGGTATGAAGGAGATGCCAGTGTACACGGGCTCTGGTGAGACAGCACTCTCTGGAGGCAAGGGGATCAGAACAGAAAAAAAAAATGCTAAGAAGAAAACAGTCAGCTGATGGGTTTAAGGGATAGGAAGAAGGCAAGAGGGAAAGACAGGGCCATACAAAAACAGTGAGGGAGCCGGGAGGTGGTGGCACACGCCTTTATTCCCAGCACTCAGGAGGCAGAGGCAGGCAAATCTCTGTGAGTCAAAGGACACTCTGGTCTACTGAATGAGTTCCAGGACAGCTAGGACTGTTACACAGAGAAACCCTGTCTTGAAAACCAAAAAAAAAAAAAAAAAAAAAAAAAAAAAAAAAAAAAAAAAAAAAAAAAAAAAAAACACACAAAAAAACTCAAATACAAACAAAACAAAACAGTGTAGGGACAAGCATCTTCATAAGAAAGACTCAGGAAAGATGCCCGCTGGTAACTATGGGAAAAGGGCATGGCTGGGAGGTATTGATTGGAGAGCTGCTGAATTCCTATGCCATTTTGGTTCTCTATGTAAGGAGTCTCAGTCTTAAAAGAAGGGATTTCACAGTGGTCTAAAAAATTGAAGCTAAAGCAGGCTCAGAAATACCATACCTACACAGTGGCACCTTACTAGACAGACCACATCCCATCTCAGCCTCCAAGGAAAAACCTGGCCAAGGCCTCCAAAGAAAAGTGAAGACACTGTTCTGATTTAAAAAAAAAAGAAAAAGAAAAAAACGTGATTGCCAAAAGATACAAACTAGTGACCCTGGTGTTGACTCAAGGCAAAACTCTAGAACACACTATCAAAACGCTGCTTTGTAGCTCTCCAAGAGGAAACAATTATGGAGTTACGGAACGTTCATAAAAACAAAACAGCCAACTTATTAATGCTCCTTCTTTGGAAGGATTACTAGACTAGCAGGTAAGAATAGCTCACATTTCCTGATGGCCTACAGTACACCTTGAAATCTAATAACTATCCAGCAAGGCAGGCATTATTCTCTTCATTTTCTACAAGAAAACCTGAGAGCAGGGAGGTGCCGCATGCCTATAATCCCAAGTCTCAGGAAGCAGAAGTAGGATTATGAGTTAGAAGCTGCTTAGGCTATAGCATTAGACCCTAATTCAACCAAAACCCAAAACTCAGTAAGGTCCAAAGAGGTTTAGTTGAAATGCTGTCACTGTCAGGAGCAGATCCGTCTGCAGCTTGCTCAATCCCTTCATTCTTCCTGCCTCAGGCTGATTTTTCTGGAGTTCTATAACCTAGCCTTTTGTAATTCCATGGAGAAGGAAGAGAAGTGTCTTGAAGAAACGTCCATAATTAGGTGACAAATGAACTGATGTAGCTAGGAGGGACGTCTCGTGACACTGAAGGCCTGTCCACTTGTACGTGCAGCCATTATAACAGGGGACTTAGAGATGGAGAAACCGACTGGCACCATGGTTGTCCGGTGAATTCAAGAGCCTCCACGCTGCTGGCTCAAAGGCTAGCTCTGCTGCCGCCTTAATTCTGCAACCATTTAATTATTAATTCTTCTGTATGTTAGTTTCCTTGTGTCTGTGGTAAGAGGTAACAGCAACTACCATAAGGTGATGGGATGGAGATTAAACAGTTTGTATTGTAGGACTTAGAGTGAGAAAAAGATATTTTAGGAACATTTCCAGCAAGAAAAGCAAAGACTGAAATGAGATACAATAAACTTGGAGAAAACAAAACCAACGGAGAAGACTATCTACACGAAAGCGCATGCACTACACAGGAAGAGTATAGATGTGTCTAAGGAGATTCTCATGACATGATCAGAGAGTAGAAAAGAGCTCCTGGGTTACCAGGAGCTGAACAGATAAAAAAACAATCAATTAAAGAAAGCTATTGATAAAACGGAGAGAGTTGGCCAGGTGTGGTGGTGCTGGCCATTTATCCTGGCACTCAGAAGGTAGAGACAGGCAGCTCTGAGTGTGAAGCCAGCCTCATCTACATAGTAAGACTTAGTCTAAAATAACCTGAGAAAATGTTCCTATTTCATAGAAAAAAAAAGAAATAATAGATGCGAAAATTAAAGAGGGGTGTGTGTCAAACATCCAAATAGCATAGGTTCTAGATAAAGAGACAGGAAAAAAAAAAACACTACCAGATAAATTCCCCAAATGAAAACACACATTTCTGGCATGTGTGTCTAGAAGCTGAAATCAAAGGTGTTCCAAAGGACTGCTCTTTTTCAAAGTCTTCCAGAGCTATTGGCTTATTTATACTAGATACTTGGGCAGAAAGAACCGAAACAGGGCTGGAGATACAGACAAGTGGCAGAACACAGAGGCCCTGGGTCCAATCCCCAGCAGTAAAGGAAGAGAAGAAAGGAATGAGTTAGCAGGCAAAAAAAGAATTAACTTACAATGGATACCAGACCCAGATCAGAATATGTACAAGGGAGGAGCTGAATGATCTACAGAAGTCAATGTGGCTGTGAAGAGGACTCAACAGGTTTAGGGGTGTGTATGTTTAAAACTTATAGGAACTTCCTGTAATTTCAGGACTAAAGAAGCCAAAGTAGGAGGACTGCCTGGGCTATATAACAAGACCCTGTCTCAAAACAAAACCAACAAAACTCACAAAATTTCTAGGGGTTTTTAATTCATCTAACAAGGATTAAACTTACAGGGAGGCGAATTCTGGCTCTACCTGTGAAATGAGTCAACAAGCAGCATTTTCAAAACAGATGAACCTTGTGAGATGCTGAGTTCAGGAGATGTTCAAGAAAACACTAGCTAACAAATGAAGTAAGATGATTTATGGTATCAGATCAAAGGATACAGTACATATACCGTTTTATACTATGCAGCTATAGTATGCAAATATAATTATTATATTTATAGAAGTAACTGAAACATATGGCTTTTATACCGTCACAGTCTGTACTGGCTCCTGGATCAGGCTCCTGGGTATTTGTTTTCTCTGATTTCAACAAAGGGTCTTTTGAGGTACTAAGAATGCCTTTCTCTTTATCCGAGTCATCAAGATCCTTTAGCATACTACAAGAAAAAAAAAGTGCCAAATCAATCATGCTATAGGCAGAATGAATGCAAACCCTGTCTCCCAATCTTTTCCAATAAATATTTAACAGACAAAGGAAAGGTTTTCTTTTCTTTTGTTTGTTTTGAGACAGGGTCAAGAAGCACAGGATGACCAGGAACTTGCTCTACGCCCAAGGCTTCCAAGTGCTGAGATTAGAGTCTTGCATATCTAGCTGGGAAACACATTTGTATCTCTCTTTAGCTAAGCCTCACATCTTCTATCTTCTGGTCCCAAGAGACCCTTTCAACTCCTGTTTCCAAGTACATCCCTTCAGTTACACTAGACTCCAATCAAACCGTACCACTGACATGCCTCATGAGCTCTATGTTGTCTAGGGTCATGGATTCTGTTCTCTCAATTTGGAAAACCTGCTGTCCCAAGCTCTCTGTACCCAAACTATACATGTTCTTAGAGTCTCAAGCAAGTCTTCACTGCTCTCCCTGGAAAGCAGTTATTAATGACATTGTTTTCTGAGATTCCAAGCAGCTTTACCTTGGAATAGTTCTTCTCATATCAGGGGGTGGGACTATTAGCAAGTGTGCTTTGTTAGAGGAAGTGTATCATTAGGGGTAGGCTTTGAGGTTTCAGAAGCTCAAACCGGGCCCAGTCTTTCTGTCTTCCAATCTAGATATAGAACTCTCAGCTACCTCTCCAGTACCATGTCTGCCTGCATGCTGCCACGTTCCCCACCATGATAATGGACTAAACCTCTGAACTGAAAGCCAGCCCCAATTCAATGTTTTCCTTTATAAGCATCGCCTTGGTCATGGTGTCTCTTCACAGCAATAAAATTCCTAATTAAGACACAATAAATATGTACAGTTATTCACATTAGGCGATAATGGAAAAATAATCAACCTTGTAAATAATCATTTCCAATTGCTAAAAATCTAAATATTACGCTTTGGGTATGAAAGATTCATGTTTGAACACCTGGCAACACTGTTTTGAGAGGTTGTAGAAATCACTGGGATGTAGGGCCTAGCTAGCAGATAGAGGTCACCAGAGGTGGATCTTGAGAATTTGGCTAGCCTTACTTCCAGGTCCATTTTTACATCCTGATCCACCACCCTGGGAGAGTGAACATCATACGCTCCTGCTCCACATGCCTGCCCTACCATGCTGGACTGCACCCTCTGAAACTGCAAGCCAAAGCAAATCCTTCTTCACACAGTGTCTGTCACAGCACGAGCAAAGTAACATGCTATGCAAAGGTACCCATGGCAGAAGAACTCAGTAAGTTAGGTAGGAAAGGACACATTTTAAAAGCAACAATATGGAGAATAATGCTAAGAGAAAAGAATCAAAGTCTGAAATTATACCTGTTATCAGTCACAACATGAACCAAGCAAGAACAAGAAATAGTTTGCTAGGGTTTTAGAACTAAAACTATTTCTTCCCGCTTATTTAAAATTCTAGTTAAGGTGGCTACAATGTCATTGTGCAATACATATATTTAATAAAGAATAAAGCTAAGCATTCAACATGGAAACAGAAGGGTAAGGAGAGAGCGCCATACTGGATGCTATGAACTGTTTGACCCCGGTGAGTTCCTGCTCCTCCCTGGCCTCAGCTGTTAGAGAGCACCGACTTAGAGTCTTGGCGCACGCGACCTTTCACTCCAGCGGTTAACTTTCTATGCTGGTCTGGTTCTTTGTCGCGAGGAAAGGAGCAGACAGGTGAGCGGGTACAGCTCTTCAGTTTTGTAGCGAACAGTAATCATACTTCAACCTTCACCACTTCCTCAGACATCACAATACAGCTGTTATAGCAGAAGCCAGGCGCTGGAGACGTAGCTCAGAGCTTAAGGGCATTTGTTGCTCTTGACGAGATTCCAGGTTGAGCTCCTAGCACCCACATGATGGTTTACAACCACCCATAACTCCAGTTCCAGAAGATCTGATACCCCATTCTGATCTCCTTGGGCACAAAGCATACATGGTAGTGCATATATTTAAATGCAGGCAAAAACACATCATAAATGAGTAAGTCTAATAATAAAAATTTTAAAGCACAAACCAGAAGTTACATATAAAACATTTCCTTCTCTTCCTAATCAAGATGATAGACTACAGGGATCTGTTTCTGTCAAAATAGTGACATAAACGGGGCTGGAGAAATGGCTCAGCAGTTAAGAGCACTGGCTGCTTTTCCAGTGAACCAGGGTTCAATTCCCAAACGTATATGGCAGCTCATAATTGTCTGTAACTCCAGTTCCAAGAGATCTGGCATCCTTACACAGATATCCATACAGGCAAAACACCAATGCAGGTCTTTAAAATATGACCAGTAAAATAAAATAGTAGCCCTCCTTTCCCTCCAATTATGATAGTTCCCACCTGTAATCTTGGTACTTGGGAGACTAAGGCAGGAAGATCCTGAACTCAAGACCAGCCTGAGTAATACAGTAAGAGTTTTGTTCTTGTTTTTGTCTTTGAAGAGTTTCACTGTGTAGACCAGGCTAGTCTCAAATACAGAGATTTTTCTGGGACTAAAGATATGACTCACCAAGCCCAGCAAAGAATGGTTTCTAAACAACCAAATAAATAATAGCAATGTTCTGGACACTTTCATTTGAATACAAAATAAATCACTGAGGCACAAAGAATACTTACATAGAAATGATATTATATACCTAAGCTACATACTTAAGGCATCTTAAAAACAAACAATAATATTTATTATTAACTATTTTACCTGGAACATTTCAAAGAGGAAGAAGCTGTAGAAATAATTTCTTCTTCGGGAGAAGGTGGAACAAAATCTATATCATAGTCATCATCATCAAGTTGAAAGTATAGAGGTTTCTCAATTGACTGTAAATGAACTTCATCTACGTGATTCTTCTTTTCACTATTATCTAAAGAAAAAGAGTTGGTAAACACAGATTATTTTAATAATTAACGAGACAGAACATGCACGAGCTCTTATGAAGGCTTTTTTTGGGCAAGTCAGAAACAATCAGAACATTTTGTATGGGAGTCTCCTGCAGGTTAATGTTGGCTGATTTCTTCACGAATAAGGAAATCAACTGGAAGAAGTCCAAAGCTGGACTAAAGCCAGAGATCTGCTTAGGAATTCAAGACCTATTTCTAGTTAAATTTCGAAACTCTTGTTTCACTTCAGTAATTTGCAGCAGCACAAACACTGTGGGCTTGTTTTGAGACAGGGTCTTGCTATACAGCCTACAGTTTTGAACTCTATCTTCCAGCCTCACCTCCTCATCCAGGATCACAGGCGTGGCATACACCCAGAGCTGGCACACACACACTGCTGCTATACAGACAAACCATCTCCACCACAGAGGTGTCTAGCTATAGAAGCATCTCTCTGGTGCTCTCTGGTTTTGCCGTTTACCATCCACCCAGTATTCTCTTGAGAAACAGCAACACAAGAGATTAAACTTGAGTTTTGCTGTTTTTTTTTTAACTTATTTATTTATTTATTTATTTATTTATTTATTTATTTATTTATTTATTATGTATACAATATTCTTTCTGCGTGTATGCCTGAAGGCCAGAAGAGGGCACCAGACCTCATTACAGATGGTTGTGAGCCACCATGTGGTTGCTGGGAATTGAACTCAGGACCTTTGGAAGAGCAGTCAGTGCTCTTAACCACTGAGCCATCTCGCCAGCCCCTGGTTTTTTTTTTTTTTTTTAAATCAATTACTTTTCAGCACTTTCTCATTGTATAGCAATTTTAACAGAACTGGTATTTACAATTTTAGTCTCAGGATGTTGCATGTACCTGCGGTCTGAGCTGCTAAGGAGGCTGAGGCAGAAGAATGGTCTATAAGGCTAGGCTAGGAAGACTGCAAGCTTAAGGTGTATGTAGAGAATGTGGTGAGATCCTGTCACAAATAAACAGTAAATAAAAAGCTGAGAATATATGTCAGAGATAGTATTTATCTAGTACGCACATTCCTAGATTCAGTTCCTAAAATATAAGGGAAGAGTGGTGGTGGTAATGCCTTGAGTCCAGGAGATCAGGACAAGTCTGTACACAAAGCAAGACCCAACTCTTAAAAGAATTTTAAAGTCAGTGAGCTTAAGGCCAGCCTGATCTAGAGTGAGTTCCAGGACAGCCAGGATTGTTTCACAGAGAAACAATCAAAAACAAACAAACAAACAAAAAAATCAAACAAAAAATATATATAATAATAATAGTGCAATGCCCTACTCTTCTGTTCTGGTAATATAATTACTTACAGTATATTATACTGGGCATGACACTGGTGTATATATTTACCAATGCATTCCATCTACTGGAGAATATTCTCGTACAGGCCTTTCAAGAGGTATTCTAAACTGGGTGTAGTGGCTCCTAGGAGACAGAGGCAAGTGTGCTGCTGGTCAGACAGGGCAATACAGTGAGATCTGTCTCAAACAAAACCAAAGAATAAGTGGTATTCTATAAGAATGCACAGAAGAACCAGGTGTGGTAGTGCACACCTTCCACCCCAGTCCTCCTAAGGCAGAGGCAGGTGCCACTCTGTGAGCTGGAGGTCATCTGGGTCTACGTAGTGAATCCCAGGACACTTAGGGCTATGTAGAGAGAGCACGTCTCAAAAAACAAACAAAAGAAAACAATCAAGGAACTAGAGAGATAGGTCAGTGGATCAGAGGACTGGCTGCTCTTCCAGAGAACCTGGGCTCACTTCCACACGGCAGCTAACATGTGACTCCAGTTCCAGGACTTCTGATACTCTCACACAGATGCAGGCAAAACAAACAGAATGCACAGAAGATGAGGATTATTTCCTGTTGTTGCCCCTAAAGACCTTCCAGGGGAGAGATGTGATGGGAGAAGACAACGATACTCATGATCCTGACCCTGTGTTAAGTTAATGTTCATGTCCCAGTTTAAAAGAACATTAATAAAGAAATGGAAGATGGAAGGGAGGGAGGGAGAGAAAAGAGTGAGGGAGAAAAAGGAAAGGGAAAGAAAGAAAGGAAAAGCAAAGGATGAACTGGGTCTGGTATCTTATAACCTTAATTTCAACACTCAGGAGACTGAGGAAGGAGTAGCAAGAATCAAGAGCAGGGACTGAAGAGATGGCTTAACAACTTTAAAATACTTGCAATTCATGCACAGGATCTGGGTTGGGTTCCCAGCACGCATAAGATGGCTTATAACCATCTGTGACTCCAATTCCAAGGGATCTGACGCCTTCTGGTCTTTGAAGGCACAAAGCACACACACAATGCACACATACACACACAAAATCAGGTAAAACACTCATACACATTATTTCTTAGTTATGGTTTCTATTGCTGTGATGAAACACCATGACCAAAAGCAATTTAGGGAGGAAAGGTTTTTTTCATCATGTTCTCCACCATCCAGGTAGTCAGAGTAGAGACCCAGAAGGAATCTGGAGGCAAGAGTTGTTGCAGAGGCCATGGAGCACTGTTTATTAGCTTGCCCATCCTGTTCTTATACCACCTAGAGCACTATCAGCCCAGGGGTGGCACTGCCTAGTGAGCTTCGCAATATTTTGCACAGTTCTATAATCAATGCTTTTTTTTATTATTTAAGGTAAACATGTCTACAAGAATTAAAGCTTAAAAATTACAATGAAGCCAGGGTGGTGGCGCACGCCTTTAATCCCAGTACTTGGGAGGCACAGGCAGGCGGATCTCTGTGAGTTCAAGGCCAGCCTGGTCTACAAGAGCTAGTTCCAGGACAGGCTATAAAGCTACAGAGAAACCCTGTCTCGAAAAACCAAAAAAAAAACAAACAATAGCAACAACCAATAAAATACATCTTAAAAACTATTTTTGATTTCTTGAAAAAAGTGATTCTCCCATTTTGAGCATTCTCCCAAGNCAAAAAAAAAAAAAAAAAAAAAACACAACAAACTAAAAGTAATTATTGAGGAAGTGTAAATGTTTAATGAATTTGCTCTAAGCTAAGTGCAGTGTTTACAATGGATGGAAATGGCTAGCAACATCCTATGCCTCCACATTCACTTCCACTCGCTCAGAAAAGCTTCTTGTTCTCAGCTCCATTCGTGGTATGTACTCTATTCAGTACAATATTTATATTTACTATACTTTTTGCATACTTAGAAATGTTTGGATACACAGATATATTCCGTTGTGTACAAACACCTACAGTATTCACAGACGTATGTTTTTGGAGCCTCTGAGCAAGAGGCAAACCATATAGCCTAGGTGTACAGTAGGCTCTGCCATCTAGGTTAAAGTGCACTATGGTACTGGCAAGGTGACATGGCATAATAATGTGTTTTCAGAACATATCCTTGGAGCTGGAGAGATGGCTCAGAGGTTAAGATCACTGACTGCTCTTCCAAAGGTCTTGAGTTCAATTCCCAGCAACCACATGGTGGCTCACAACCATTTATAATGAGATCTGGTACCTTCTTCTGGCCTGCAGCTGTACATGCAGGCAGAACACTGTACACATAATAAATTAAAAAAACAAAACAAAACATATCCTTGTCACTAAGTGATACGTGACTGTAATAAGCAGAATTAGATATTACCATCAATGCAGACCTTACTTTCTTATATAAAACCACAGAGCTAACCCCGACATAGCAGATATTAAGACCCTCAAGAACAAAACTGCTTTCCACTGTTCCCAATGCTTAGCTTTCAATTAAAAAAGTATTGTAAACATACTGAAATGAAGATGAGATGATGGCTACCTTTTTCAGCTCCTAAATGAGCTTCCAAAGACTGACTTTCCTGAGTATCTTTCTTCCCGAGCTCTTCAGAACAAGGGTCATTGTCGATGACAATCACATCACTGCTCAGGCATTCTGACTCATCCTTCTGGTCCTTGGTTAAATCCACTTGTGGGCTTTCCGGGGAAGAAGGTGTCAAATAAGCCTTTACTGTTCTTGCTTTATGAGTTGGTGGTTTAAAAAAGTTTCTCTTAGTCTTTTTTGATTTCTGAGCGGTGCTTGCTCTTACAGCAGGATTTTTGGTCCGAAAAACAAATGCATCGGATGCTGAAATATCAAAGTCATCCATATCAGCCCAGTCATTGAGGGACTCTAGTGAAGAAGTAAATTCTAATTTCTTGAAAACAGCAATGTGGGGTTTCTTTACAGCTGGGGTTTTTACTGCTGAGACTTCCTGAGGAGTCTGCGCCAAGTCCAGCAGTAGCGGTTCAGGACAGGGCTCCTTGGTTTTCTGTCCTCCCGGGGAGTTTTTGAAGGAGTCACCAGTCCCAGGCTGCTGCTTTGGTGTGTGCAGCGGAGGCTCCGTGACTGAAAAGGCCTCAGACACATTCACATCTTTATCACTTAGCGCGGGGGTTTTTACCACTGACACACTGGTTACAGACACATCGCCCTCTGATGTTTTCTTTTTAAAAGTAAAACCTCTGAAAAAACAATGACAAAGCTGAAATTAGATTAATTCATTTGTTTCTGATGCTGGGGACTGAACTCAGGGCCTCATTTACGCTAAGTGTTCTAACATAAGCTACAATCCCAGCCCCTAGATAGATCCATTTTCATTTTACCTAACTCACTCACCTATAAAGCATATTTTCAAATGCAAATTGCATTAGTTTTATTACAAATAAGCACAGAATCCATCTCCCTCTGTGGCTTTGAAATTTTCCCAGGTAACAAATGCATCTGGCTTCTCTGATCCTTCCCATTCAGAGGCTAACTACTGAGGCTCAGAGTTCCTAGGCCAGGCCCACACTTAATTTCTCAGGCTGCCAATCCTTTTTTTTTTTTTAAGTATTTTATTTATTTATTATGTATACAATATTCTGTCTGTGTGTATGCCTGCAGGCCAGAAGAGGGCACCAGACCTCATTACAAATGGTTGAGAGCCACCATGTGGTTGCTGGGAATTGAACTCAGGACCTTTGGAAGACCAGGCAATGCTCTTAACCTCTGAGCCATCTCTCCAGCCCAAGCTGCCAATCCTTAATAACACCTTCAGAAGGAAGAGACAGAATGTGTGAAAAAAAAAAAAAGGTTGGTACTCTAACTGGCTTTAGTTATTCTGATAAAAATATTTTTTTAAGAGACAAAAGAGTTAAAAAAGAAAGAAAGAAAGCAAAGAAACTGCTGAGATCTGAAGGACATAGGGGAGGCAGGAGTCCTGGCTAGGTGCTGAAATTAATGGCACGAAGGTCATGGTGCACCTGGAGCAGTGCCTGCACCCGAGGGGCACAACAAATACAAATTATTATTAGGCGCCATTAGAAACTTGGGATATAGCTTGCAGGAGACATCAGAACAAGAGTGGTCATTTCCCTACAAAGTTTGGCAGATCATATGAGATTATATTCAAGTATAATATCTGCTCATATTTTCAAGAAAATTCATTACTTGTTCATCCAACTTTGCTGAATAAGTAAGTATGTGCCAGGAACCGTGTAAAGCTGCAGAGCAATCACTACCCAGATCTGCCTGAATAAGCTCTGCTAGCAATGTGCAAAGTTAGAAAACCAACGAGCCCCTCACCTCCTCTGTAAAATGGCCGAGCCTGAAGAAGCAGGTGTGGAGAGGGTCCTGGCACACAGGAGGCTAAGGCAGGCTGCTGCACGTGTGAGGGAAGCTAGCCTGAACCACAGTAAGTTCCAGGCCACTGAGCGATACAGATAGGATCCTACTTTAGACAGAGCTGAGAGACAAGAGCTCCATTTGTATGACACGAGTTATTGTCCACATGCTAATAAATATACTTACGAAGATTTGGGTTTTGTAAGATTCAATTTATTATTAAGTTTTCTGGCTGAGTGGCGCTGCAGTTGCTCCTGTAGATTGTTCAGAGGAATAGCAGCCATGATCTAAAGAGGAAAAGGGCAACCATTAGTGGAGTTAGGTAATCTGTACCATTCAACATATTTATTGAGGTAGTAAAGGACTGGACTCAGTCACTGTTCCAAATGTGCCCAGAGTAACATGCTTTCCTTACTTCTTTTACTTTTCTTTTTTCTTTTTCTGGTCAACAGATTGCTTTACCATTTACATCTGGTGACATTTAAAACATAATTTTTAACTAGCTAAAGATTTACTTGAATAACAAATGGCCTGGTTTCCCCCCTTTCCTCAACAGATGCTAAAATCAACACAATAGATGTTAGAGAAGCAATGATTAGAAAAGGGCTGTAGAGAAAAGGGGTCTGGCCTAGGCTTGGAGGGTAAAAGGGAAGAGGACAAGAAGGGAGGGAGAGGAATAATCAAAGCAAACTAGCAAGAACACCCAGTCAGTGAATTCTCTGTCCAAAGGTAAAAATCTGGTAAAGATAGAAGAGCATCTGCAGCGAGTGCACAGGTTGACCAGCAAGAGAGCATGCTGCATAATCAGCTGGCTCCAGCCTACAACAGTGTGTCACATCCATTTCTATCCCTTGTGCAACAAGTGCTGCACTGCTTAGCGTTCACCCAGATAAAGCACAGCTCAAACCACCTGGATATCACTGAGCTAAAGAAAGACAGTGGTCATCTAGGAAGAGTTTAAAAGGAGGTTATTTCAGATAAGCTATACCCCCCTTTCCCACTCTACCTGGATTGAAACAGCATTTACAGTTAGTGTATCTGTGTACAGCTGCACGCAGCATGATGGAGGGGCACCTGCCACACTTGTGGAGGTCAGAGGACAACTTTGTGCAGCTGCTTCTTTCTTTCCACCTTTATGTTGGTTCCAGGGATCGAACCTGGTCCTTGGTTTACAGAGCAAGCACCTTTACCCACTGAACCACTTTACAGGCCCCATTTCTTCCTGACACTAGGTGTGGATTTTTTAAGAATGACTCTCATAGACTCATATATTTGAATGTTTAGTCACCAGGTAGGGGAACTCTTTGATAGGATTAGAAGGATTAGGAGGTGTGGCCTTGTTGAAGGAAGTATATCACTGGGGGTAGGCTTTGAGGTTTCAGAAGCTCCAGCCAGGCCCAGTGTCTCTTCCCCATTTCCTTCCTTCCCTCCCTCCCTTCTTCCCTCCTTCCCATCTGCAGATCCAGATGTAGAACTCTCAGCTACTTCTCCAACACCATGTCTCTCTGCATGCTGCCATGCTCCCCACCATGACGACAATGAGCTAAGCCTCTGAAACCTAAGCAAGCCCTAATTCTCTCTTTTTATAAGAGTTGTGGTTATGGTGGCTCTTCGTTGCAACAGAACAATGACTAAGATAGAAGTGTTTGCTGTTTCAGGAGGGATAGTTCTATCATGTTAGATGTAATAATAACCTGGTTAAATATATAATGTATTTTGTGATTCTATGTAGAATAGTTATAACATGTTAGATGTAATTATGACCTGATTATTGTTATTTGGAAATTAAGCATGACATAAGGAGATATGATTGTGTTAAGTTGACAAGTGGTAGACTTATGGTGGCAACTCTTGGTTGTCAACTTGACTACATCTGGGTGGGCATACCTGTGAGTGATTTTTTTTTTCTTAAACAAAATAGAGGGTCAAACAAACTGGAAAACCATATCCAAGCCAAGCATGGTGGTTCATACCTGTAATTCCAACACTTGGGAGAATCAGAGTTTGAGGCCAGCCTGAGGTACACAGTAAGCTCAAAGTCAGCATGGTCTACACCTATACCAAAAAACAAATGATGAAAAGAATACACGATTGTAGACGGAGGTTTCTGTCTTGCTTGGCCCCAAAGAAACACACAGAGGCTTATAAACTGTCTGGCTTATTAGCTTAGGCTCATTATTAACTAGCTCTTACAACTTAAATTAATCCATAATTCTTATATATGTTTAGCCATGTGGCTTGGTAACTTTTCCCACTGTAACATTTTCTTTTTTTGTTGTTTTGTTTTTGGTTTTTGGAGAAAGGGTTTCTCTGTGTATCTCTGGCTGGCCTTGAACTCACAGAGATCCATCTGCCTCTGCCTCCCTAATTGCTGGGATTAAAAGCACACGCCACCACCACCCAGCTCAGTGCAGCATTTTCATCTTGCTTCCTCTGCATCTGGGTGGTGACTGCAGACTCAGCCTTTCCTCTTCCCAGAATTCTCCTAGTCTGGTAGCCCTGCCTATACTTCCTTCCTATCTACTGATGAACCACCATTTTATTAAACCAATACAAGTGACAAATCTTTACAGGGTACAAGAGCATTATCCCACAATAGAGGATTAAAGGAATCTAATTTGAACTATGTCTTAAATTAATAAGATTTCAGACCAGAAATCGAGGGAGCCTATATTATTTAACAACCAGATCATGATATTCAGAGGTAGTCTTTTTTTTTTTTTTTTTTTAATTTTTGGTGGTACTGACGATTGAATTTAGTTAGGGCTTCATACACCCTAGGCAAGTGATCTCTCACTAAGGTACATTCTTACCCTTTAAAAACTTTGACTTGGGGCTGGAGAGATGGCTCAAAAGTTAAGAGCACTGACTGCTCTTCCATAAGTCCTGAGTTCAGTTCCCAGCAACCACATGGTGGCTCACAACCATCTATAGTGAGATCTGGTGCCATCTTCTGGCATGCAAGCATACATGGAAGGAATGTTGTATACATAATAAATAAATAAATTTAAAAAAATAAAAATAAAAACTTTGACTTTGAGACAGGGTCACACTAAGTTTTCCAGGTTGACCTTGAAACCAAGACCCTCCTGCCTTAAGCCTCCCCAGTAGTTGGACTACAGGCCTCTGCTACCAGCCAGGGCTCTAAGGAAAATATCTTCTAAAGAGTCTCCCCACCCACACTTTAACTTTTTGTTTGTTCTAATTTTGTTGTTTTGAGGCAGGGTCTGTCTATGTAATCCTAGCTGTCTTTAACTCACAGAGATATGCCTACCTCTGCTTCACAGCGCTGGGTTTACAGGCTCCTGGGATTCAAGACCTGTGACATCATATCCGCTTTGCCTTCTTACTATTTGTCTGTTCATTGAGTGTGGGGAGCTCAAAAGATAACTTGTAAAAACATCAGTTCTCTCCTTTCACCACACCAGTTCTGGGAGTCAAATCCAAGTGGTCAGTTTTGGCAGCAGGTGCCTTTATCCACTAAACCATCTCATTAGCCCTATTTGTGGAGTTTTAAAGTAGCAGAAAAGGACTTTAACCATTGGTCACTTCAAGGCTTATCTTTAAAACTAGCTATTTAAAATTATCCAAATAATTTAAGCAACAATGATCATAAAAATAAATAAAAAGGGATTGGAGAGATGGCTCAGTGGTTAAGAGCACTGACTGTTCTTCCAGAGGACCTGAGTTCAATTCCCAGTACTGACATGGCAGCTCACAAATGTCTGTAATTACAGTTCCAGAAAACTCGACACCCATGGCAAAACATCTATACACATAAAAATTTAAAAAAATAAAAACTAAACTGGGTGGTGGTGGCGCACACCTTTAATCCCAGTACTCAGGAGGCAGAGGCAGGCAAATCTCTGTGAGTTCAAGATCAGCCTGGTCTACAAGAGCTACTTCCAGAACAGGCTCCAAAGCTACAGAGAAACCCTGTCTGGGGGGGGGGGGGGGGGAGCCAAGCATGGTGGCACAACAGCACTCAGAGGCAGAGAAGACAGGCGGATCTCTGTGACTTTAAGGCCAGTCTACACAGTGAGTTCCAGGACAGATTACACCGACTGCCGTAAAATCAAATCAAATCAAGTTGTAAGCAATAGATAAATAAATAAACCTCTTTAATAACACAGAGACATAGCTGGGCGATGGTGGCGCACGCCTTTAATCCCAGCACTCAGGAGGCAGAGGCAGGCGGATCTCTGTGAGTTCGAGACCAGCCTGGTCTACAGAGCTAGTTCCAGGACAGGCTCCAAAGCCACAGAGAAACAAACCCTGTCTCGAAATATAAAAAAAAAAAAAAAACAAAAACAAACAAACAAAAAAAAAAACACAGAGACATGACAAGACATGACAGAGAAAAGTTTTTTGGGGTGGAGGATTCCATTTCTTTCAAATAAATGAACAATTTTTAGATTTCTCAAAATTAGGACAACAACTTCTTTTTCTAGGTCAAACTTTGCTTTTATTCCTTTCGTTGCAACAAGAGCTGCTTCAGAATATCAAGAGGTAGACTGCCAAAAAGACTATTCCTTACTCTAGTTCTCTGCTGAAAGCAGAGCTTTTAGGAAGTCTTCCTGAAAATACAGCCTCACCAGGTGACTTGCCAGTGGGGAAAGGTGATCTTCCCTGGGGCAAAAGTGGTAAGCCTCAACACATGAACAATCATAACTTCATAAAGCTCAACTGGGACCCTAGAAATAAGAGGCTGTCTAGCAAACCAAACATCAAGTAAACAATTTCTGAACAGAAACATTAAACAGGACCCTCATTAATGTCCTATGTCTCTTTAATAGGGCTAGTTTTGATTATCAACTTGATAGAATCTAGAAGCATTTGGGAAATGAGCCTGTAGGTGTATTCTGAGAAAATGGACTCATTACATCACGTGAAACAGGAAGAGACATCCTACTTATGTGTGGGACTTTGGCTGGGGAGGCCGGGCTGTGAGTGGAGAGGGCAGTTGAGCAGCCATGAACGCTCATCCATCCCTCTGCTTTCTGACTGTGGATACCACGTGACCAGTTCAAGCTCCTGCTGCCTTGACCTCCCTGACATGATGGACTGTACATTGAACTACAAGTTAAAATAAATCCTTTCTCCCTGGTGGTGCTTTGTCAGGGTATTTTATCATAGCAACAGCAAGGAAACTGGGACAAGACATGTAACACTCTCTCTAACCTAAAGTAGAAAAACAGCTGTCCAAATGTATTCCTGAATTAATTATAGTTATCAGAGCTTCAAAACCCATTTTCCCAAGAATCTTCTCATTTACAGTTGTTTAAAA